TGAGTTCATCAAAACCAATACGGCACACAACATCGGCGCAGGGCAACGGGGTGCGGATGATTATGAATGTACACACTCAAGCAGACAACAAACATTTTGCCACCTCTATGAATGTACTCGCTATTAGCATATGGGACACTTTTGAAATCATGCCATGCTCTCTTGTGAACATTACTATGATTTACAATACAAGCCATCTCGGTTTTGGCTTTTATCAGCGGCAACAAAGGCGACAGAATAGACTATAAAGACAAGCCAGTCACAAACAGATACATAAATTAGGAAAAGAAAATGAAATTCAATTTCCAGGGGCTAGCAGCCGCAATGTGCTCTCTCTCCTCCTTAATTAAAAAGCAGTCAGCTGAAGAGGGGCTATGAAGGCAGACAGAGAGGAGCACGAGCCCCCCTTTCATCATCCCTGTAGTGAGTGGTGGCAAACTCCACTGAGACAACAGGCCGGAATAACAAGGCTGAAGAAATTCCCTCCTCTGTGCTCCAGTTGCTTTTCTCTTTCCCTCTTGCTCTCTTTTATTTCAACCGTAGAGGTTAAGCTCTAGTAGTTCAGCTCTACAGGAACTACACACACACACACACACTCGACTACATAAACATAAAGTCTTTTAAGCTGGTGTAAGCTTTAGGGGTTTACCTACAGTATGTGTTATGATGACGCGAGAAGCCCAGTGTTTACTTTGATGTTATGCATAAATTAGGATGTATGCACAGCCAAACATGCATACTTTAAAAAGAATAATTAATTTAAAGCTCAAATCATGCTTGATTCAATTTAAAGCTAAACTTAAAGGATGTAAAGTGTTTGTGTATTTAAGTGTTTCTTAGAGTTTGCACTTTTAAATGCAGAGCTATCTAAAGGATGTTTTTTTTTTTTTTTTTTTTTTTTTGGATCGCATACATGCAAATCGACACACACATATACTTACTGCTATATACAGTACATACCCTAAATGTGTACAGCTTTTATGAAAATATAAAAATTGATTTATTTTAATGTTGTTTTTATTTTTATTTATTTTTTTTTTTTTTTAGAAAAGGCACTATATTTTAAGACGTTCAAATGGTGCCATGGTCAAATGGTCCCACAGGAGGGTTAACATATTTTAAAAAGCACTGTATGTATACCTTATTTCAGGGATTCTCAACCGGGGGGCTTCAGCGGTCCTGTTGGTGGGCCGCGATAATAAAAATGTAACTCTTAATATTAAACGATAATTTTGGGACTTCATTATTATGCTACAAATTAAAATCATCAAAGTATGCACTTTCTTTTGTTCTCTGGTTGATTACTTCAAACTCGACACAAAAACAGCCTCATGATCACGTCTGCAATTCGTACACGTACAGTAAAGCCTGTTTCACAGTGCAAGCATGAGCAGACCCTGAGCAGCGTGTGTTATTTTCAGCGTGTGTCAATGTTAACAGATTAGAGCCTTCATTCCGCACGCGGAAGCAGAGCATCAGTGCAAGGCTTGAATGTCACTAAAGCAGCAGTACCATGATAGTTTCGGCACTAGGTCTATTTTTGCCACGCTGCTTATGCTCAATTAAAGTGACAGTGCATTGATAATGACCAAAAATGTATAAATGACGATGAAAAGTAGCAATTTTACATATATATATATATATATATATATATATATATATATATATATATATATATATATATATATATATATATATATATATACAATCAAATGAACTTAAACAATTACAAACAGCAACACAAAATTTAAAACCATTTTAGCATCAGTTTTGCTTAAGTTGCACACTAGTTTGATCAAGTATAAATATCATTATAAATATATTGTATTATAACTATAGGCCTACAACGTCCTGACTATCAAAATCAAAATTTGTTAAAAAAAGCACTGTTCATTTACAAACTACATGTGAAGTGAAAGTCTCTCTTTTTTGTATTTTTGTGTGAACTATTTAAAATATCCGCATAGTTGTCCAAAGTAACGCCCTGTGAGTGGTGAGGCTTAATGGTGTTTAGGTTGTTTTACTGTATTTTACATGCGTCGGTTTATTCTGAATGGTAGATAAGTTTAAAGTTCAGTTTAAAGCACAATATTGTTGATTGCAGTCTCCCTGTTTACCTGTGGTTTTCTTTAAATATGTCAATAATTTGTCAATACATAAAGGTTTTAATGAGCATTGCATACAAATATTTTAGAGAAAAAGTCAGACAGATTGGCCATCAAAAATTGATCGGAAAAAGAAGGGGCCCAGAAGTGAAAAAGGTCAAGTACCCATGCTTTATTTGACTATGTAGTGGCCGATTGCAAGTTTCAATATTTGGTAAAAATTCCAAATTCCAGCCAATTTTCGATGAATTTAATAATCATGCATGCATATAAATGTAGATATTCAGTGATTAACACAACATATTCAGTAAATTTCAGCTAGTATTATTTGTATATAATACTTTTTCTAGTCCATGACATTAATATGCATATTTATTTATGACTAACTATGTATTATTAGTAATGGTTGAATACATTTACATTTACATTTAGTCATTTAGCAGACGCTTATATCCAAAGCGACTTACAAATGAGGACAAGGAAGCAATTTACACAACTAAGAGCAACAATGAATAAGTGCTATAGGCAAGTTTCAGGTCTGTAAAGTCTAAAAAGGGAAGTACTAGTAGTATTAGTATTATTATTATTTTTTTTTTTTTGGGTACAGTTAGTGTGATATTCAGAGAGGCAATTGCAGATTAGGAAGTGAAGTGGAGACTAAATAGTTGAGTTTTTAGTCGTTTCTTGAAAGTAGCGAGTGACTCTGCTGTTCTGATGCAGTTAGGGAGTTCATTCCACCAACTGGGCAGATTGAGCGTGAGCGTTCGTGAAAGTGATTTCTTCCCTCTTTGGGATGGAACCATGAGGCGACGTTCATCCACAGAACGCAAGTTTCTGGAGAGCACATAGATCTGCAGAAGTGAGAGCAGATAAGAAGGAGCAAGGCCAGAAGTCACTTTGTAGGCAAACATCAGAGCTTTGAATTTGATGCGAGCAGCAACTGGCAGCCAGTGCAAACGGACTAGCAGCGGAGTGACATGTGCTCGTTTAGGTTCATTGAAGACCACTCGTGCTGCTGCATTCTGGAGCAGTTGAAGAGGCTTGATAGAGTTAGCTGGAAGCCCAGCTAGTAGAGAGTTGCAGTAATCCAGTTTGGAGAGAACAAGAGCTTGAACAAGGAGTTGAGCTGCATGTTCAGATAAGAAGGGTCGGATCTTTCTGATGTTATAGAGTGCGAATCTGCACGATCGAGCAGTAGAATACACCATTAACTAAAATAAATAAATCACATAAACATATTGTAATTGATATTTCATGTTAGTGAATGCATTTAATGTTATTAATGTAAAGTAATGATAAAAAATGGGGGCTCAGTCCATCCATTTATCTCTAAATATTAACTTTTTCAGGGCACATCCCTTCTTCTCCTTCTTTTTTTTCTAAAAGCAAAGGACTCTAATGACTAGGCATGTCACAATTCATAAATATTACATTCTTAGTGTGGGTGGTCCAACGCATTCAATAATATTCTGCTTCAGTCTGTAAAATCTGCCCTAACAAGTGTGTGTGCTAGACCTTAGCTGCACTGTAAAAAATGTTTGTGAAAATAACAGTGAAATTCTGTAAAATTGTGACATCTAAATTTTGTAAATAAAAAAACAAAGAAACAGCGTTAAATTTACAGTATGGTTTTGTAAAAAATAAAAATACAGTTGTAACACATTGAACCAAATTAAACTGTTAATTGTACTGTAAGAATGTGTATCAATAACAATGTTTATTTGTAGAAAATACCGATCACTGTTATTTGAATAGTAAAAACATGTAATACTGAAAGCTGCTGTAAAAATTACAAAATGATAAACAAACAAAAATCATGCTATTACAGATAAAAAAAAAGCTTGTGTAAGCAAGTATAACAATCACAAAATGACCAAAATGATTATGCTATCCTTACACATATCATTACATATTTACAGATTTTAAATGAGGGGTTTTAAAAGGCAATGTGTCTGTTTAGAATTGTCCTAATGGTCTATTAGCTATTTTAATATTAGGCTTTATTGCTAATTATCATATTTAATGTAGGCCTACATAGAAAAATAATTGCTATTTGTCCGTAAGGGTCCTTTATTTGTGAACACATGTAAAATATAATCGTAAATCCACTGTAATTGACAAAATATTTTTTTTAAACAATTTATTTAATAAAATTATGAATGTCTTGTTGTTATTTAAAATGTGACAGCGGTGTTTTTCTATCTAAAATATATGTTTTTGCGTAAATCAATGTCTGCGTTTGAATTTCAAACTCTGTTCTGTTTTGTCCAATCACTAATCTGATTCTTGCGGGAGCAGCCATTTTACAGACGTTTATGGATCTATAGTGAGAGCGCGCGCTCAATCTGTCCGGCCCGCGAATGAAGCTGTGGAAGACGTCTTGCAACATTTCTAAACTACTGAGGCACTGGTAAGTTTAGTGAAAAGTTCGTTTACTTTAAACGCTTTACCATAAGCACCCGCCAAAGAGGAGAGGGTATTATTTGGGGTGTCGCACGGTCGTCGGAGTAATAATGAGTGGCACAATGCAAAGGTAACTCGGCCCCTTGTCGTATCGTACTACTAACGTAACGTTAGCTGAAAAAAAGATTTTTTGGAAGTCTAAAGATGATTACGTGTCATTTTTGCAACAAAACCCTTGAGACACTGAGAGGCTATGTGTTGCATTGTAAAGTTCACAGAAACGAACCCCGTTGCTTTTTCAAATGTGTTGGTGCTGGCTGTGAGCGAACATTTTGCTCTTACGCAGCATTTAAAGCACATTTCTATAGAGATCACAATGAGTCTGTATCAACCGTTAGTACTAAAGCAGTTGTAGCAGATTTTAAATGTGCCATTTCGTTGTGTGACCGCACGTTTAACACGGCTAAAGATGTAAGTTAATATGCCACTTAAAAGAGCATTTAGCAGAAGGCCGACCTGTGGCTTGTCCAGTAACGGGTTGTAAAAATACTTTTACAATTAAATCGTCTTTTACAGCCCACATGTCAAGAAAGCATAGAGCTGCTTCAAATGATTCTATAAGTGACATTTACAGGGAAACTGTTTCTCAGTCGTCCACTGTCATTGAATGTGATGTTTCAAATGATGTAACAACACCTGAAACTACAGAATTGCCCCAAATTTCTAGTGAGTCGTTCCTTAGGAATATGTGTTTATTATACTTAAAACTGCAAGGACAGCTCCTCCTTCCAGCTTCAACAATTCAGACGATTGTTGAAGAGATGCAAAATGTGCATGAGTTGGGACAAGATTACACTTTAATTAAACTGCATTCCCTTTTAAAAAATGAGATGGATCTAGCAGATGAAGTTGTTAGTAAAGTCTGTGACTGTGTAAAGGATTCAGATCTGTTCTCTTTCTGTCATCAAGGACCACTGAGAACAACATATTCAAGAAGTCAGACATTCAAACAGATGTTCAAATACATAGAGCCTAAAAAGGTAACATTGGGAAATGATGAAAATATGACAAAGAAGTTTGCATATTACATACCTGTGAAACAAACATTGAGTAGCTTATTGGAATCGGAATTATGGAAGAATTCGCTGTGTCAGCCATCTTGTGAAATAGACTCGGATAATTTTGCTGACATTAGTGATGGCAAAATCTTTAAGTCCAACCAGTTCTTTCTTGAAAATCCAGAATGTCTGAAACTAATTATTTACCAGGATGCGTTTGAAATTGTCAATCCACTTGGATCTGCTAAAAAAAAGCACAAAGTAGTTGCAGTCTACCTCTCTTTGGGTAATTTACCTGCTCATGTGCGGTCCAATACTGATCACATGTTTCTCGCCTTGTTGTGTGGAGAGAACGACCTAAAGAAATTTGGAAGTGCTAAGGTTTTCTCAGAGCTGTTAGTGGATTTAAAAGATTTGGAGGAAAATGGAATAGCTGTAGGTGGTAAAGTAGTCAAAGGTGCACTGTATTGTATTGCTGGGGATAATTTGGGTTCACACGCCATTGGTGGGTTTACTGAAAATTTCAGTCGTGCTCAGTATTTTTGCAGGTATTGTGAAATCACAAGAAATGAGTTTCAGAGTGATAACCCAAATGTTTGTGGTCCACAGCGCACCCCTGAAACGTATGATTCTGCTGTTCATGATTTACAATCTGAAGACCGTCAAGACATCAAAGGAATAAAGGTAAACTCTGTTTTCAATACTTTGAAATCTTTCCATGTCTGCCAGCCTGGTCTCCCACCTTGTTTAGGCCATGACATATTTGAGGGTGTCTTATCCTATGATGTGGCATTGTACTTAAAGTATTTCATTAAGAAAAGACACTGGCTTACATATTCTGTTTTGAACCGTCGAATCAAGCAATTCAAGTACAAAAGTACTGATGCACTTACAAAGCCGTGTGCGGTCAATTCTGAGGTGTCCAAGCTTTCTGGGCAAGCTGTACAGAATTGGAACTTTTTAAGGTTGCTTCCTGTATTAATTGGTGATAAAGTGGAAAATTCAGAAGATGAAGTGTGGCAGTTAACTCTCCAGCTCAAAGATATTGTTGATTTGATTTGTGCACAAAAAATTTCATCATCACAAGTAGCCTATCTTGACTTTCTAATCCAAGAATATTTGGAATTAAGAAAGTCTTTGTTTCCTGAGAGTCCACTAAAACCAAAACATCATTTCTTGCGACATTATCCTGCACTAATTCTTAAATTTGGCCCCTTAATTCGATTGTGGACTATGCGTTTTGAAAGTAAGCATAGCTACTTCAAAAGATGTGCTAGGCATTTGAAAAATTTTAAGAATGTCTGCCTAACTCTATCCGAAAGGCATCAGATGTTTCAGGCATATCTTTCAGCTGGACCAGGATGCACTCCACTTTTGCATGTCAAGGACAGTTGCACTTTTTACCCAAGTCTTTACAGTGAATCAATCAAACATGCAGTGAGAGAATTTAACTTTTCAGAGGTTAATACTACTGTGTCCACAGAAATAATGTATAAAGGAACGTCATACAAAAAAGGACATTTTCTTGTGTCTAAAAATGATGAGTTCATTGAGTTTGGAGAACTTCTCATCATTTTAATCCAAAATGACGTAGCTGTGTTTTTTGTATTGGGAATACAAAAAGCTGAATATCATTTTGAATACCATCTGTACTCTGTGACTAAACAGAGTACCAGGCTACAGTGTCTTGGCATTAATGACTTGGTTGATTTTTATCCGCTAACATCATACATTGTTAATGGGTACCAAGTCATTCCGCTGAAACACAGCGTGCTGTCGAAGTAAAGAGATCTTGCCCACAGAGGTGGAAAAAATATACTAAAAATCATCATGTATGCTTACTTAAAATAACATATAGTTTAAAGAGATCATTTTCCCAAAAATTAAAATGTTAATATCATTTACTTACCCTTGACTTTTTTTTCAAACCTATTTGGGGTTTGTTTATTTTTTTTCTCAAGATGATATTTTGAAGAATGTTGTAACTATTGACTTCAATAGTATTTTTTCCTACTATGGAAGTCGATGATTACAAGTTTACAACATTCTTTTAATTGTTGGCACAAATAAAAAACCTCAAACTGGTATTAAATATGTCAAGGGTAAATAAATTATAGATTTAATTTTTTTTGGTGAACCATCCCTTTAAAAAATAGTAAGATCTGCATTTTGTTTGTTTTATTTGCAATTTGATTAACAGAAATAAACTCTTAATAAATTTAATAACTACATGTTTAATCACTACTTGCTTGATTTCAGTAATGACTGACTTGGAGACAACATTTCTACGTACTGCCATCACTGAGGTCTTGCCTAACCTTCCAGAGGCAACAAAAGACATTTTAGAGGAGTTATTGCAATCCATTGGAGTGGAGACATATGATGATTTTCAGTTTATTGAGGAATGCGATTTGCTGACAGCATTGAGGCCAATCCAAGCTCGAAAAGTCCTTGCTGCTTGGAAGTTAAGATGTAAGTCATGTGGTGCAGAATAGAATGCTACGAGACAAGTTCACAAAGTAACGTGTAAAAAGGTCTTGAAAAGAAAAAAACAACAACTTTGTGTTACTATTGTTTGTGAATGACCTTTTGCAGGCCAGACACCAGAAACAAGCAGCTCACCACAACCTTCCACAGCCTTGCATAGTTTACCTGCAAGCTCTGAATCTTCCTCCACCAGCAGCTCCCAAAGCCCAGATGTAGGCTGGGTGGATACGTTTCTGATACCATGGGATACATTTCCTCAGGAACTAATGCAATTTTTGGAGAGAGGAAAACGACTAAGTCCACGAATGAGAAGAGAGATGGTCCGAATTGTGGTAAATGAGATGATGCGAAAATGTTCATGCCCAAATAAAAGGAATTCTACTGAAGTTGCCAAAAAGATGGTAGCAAAGTATCCAGAGTCTCTCCTGGATGTAATAGAGGGGGATGTGGTTGGGCCAGGGTACCATTCTTTAGTGAAGCAGTTGCAGTATAGGATTGAAAATGTGAAGCGATCTACGACACCCAAAATAAGAAAACGAAGACATCAGACTGATGACTCTGACACGGACGAAATTCCTCCAGAAAAGAGGGCAGCAATTCAGGATACGTATGGATGCATTAACTGGCATGTAAAATTCCTGCCACAGGGAGAGACCTCTGAAAGTCAGGAGGAAAAGAAAGAGAAAATGAAGATAATGTCTCGTCAAACTGATGCAAACGCAGAAGAAGTCAGACATCTAATGAAATTGACTTTCTACACACAACGTAACCAAGTCAATCAGGGCAAGAATATAAAATGCCTCCTGGAGGATTGGCCATGGTGGTTTAATGAGCTTGGCATGGCAGTTCACTACAAGGAGCTTACCGGAATTGGTCTTTATGAAACTTTCACACGGAATCTGGACTTGAAGGTGAAACGACTACTAAACTACTTCAGTACTGTTGGTGTGAACAAAAACAAAAAGTTCCTGCAGGACTTAACAAAGTTTAAAATGATGAGGGGAGAGCTAAGTGGTTGCTCTGAAGATGTGAAAGAGATGTTGATGCTTTTGATTTCCTACTTTAATGAGAAGGAAGATGCTATGTTCTGTCATGTGGAGGACACATGCCTCGCAGAAGAGGTAGAGATGGACAAAGTTAATTTGACCCCAACACTTGTTGTGTGTGGTAAGTTTATTTGTTTGTTTGTTTTTTTGCTATTAAAATGTTTTTGTAATGTTTTACTGTAGAGCTAAAATATGCTTTAAAAATCAGAATTTAAATTGTGTTAGTTTGAATTATTGACAATTGTAATTTAATAAATCTGAAATTGTATATGCTGTTAAAAATTTTGAATTAAAATGTTCAAACTTGAATATTGAACATCTGAAGACAACTGAACTTTTCAAGGCTGAAATTTTTTTAGACGTATTTTAAAACTTTTTTGTTCTGAATTCATAGAATGGAGATTTCCAGTTTGTAAAAGTACAGTTTCAAGTTTTCAGGATGAAGAAATTCAGAACATCTAATTCAAAATTATGAAATTTAAACCAGAAATTCAGATTGTGAAATTCAAATTCAGCAGAGAGTAGGTCAGGAGTCATCAACAGAGAAGAGTAGACGATAACTGAAAAGTTAAAGCTAAAGTTAAGCATTTTGGCTAATCACAGAGCTGCGTGAGTTTACTGGTATATGTGAGGCTCAGGAGGACACAATTCTTCTTCAAACTGACTATCGGGGTCAGCTATTTTCAAGAGTTTGTGTAATAAATATAGACATGCTTCAGTGAACCAAATTCATATATTTAATTCAATTACATCTCATTGGCTAATCAATTTTGTTTTTCATTTTTGCTTGCATTGTCAAACTCCCTGCGTTTTACAGCTGTGGTAAATGACATATTTGCATGCACATGCTTTTTCATGAAATTATATAAGATTCTATTTATTACAATATTTATAGTACAGCATAGCATATAGTATAGCATTTTAAGGAAGATTTTAATGTTTGCCAAAGCCTATCTTCAACACTAAAATGCTGCCTCTTTTAAATATCATCTATTCACAATCAAGATGTCATATTTAACCTTACATTTATTTGAATGATCAGATTTTTCCATATATTTAAAAAATATTACATTATTTTTTGGCTAAAATAAATTAAAACCAAAATGTCCAATAGGTGGCGCCAAATCTCTATCTTTGTCACTGAATTGTTTATTCAGAGGCATTTAATTCGGCTCATTATAAATGAATTAAGTGACTCACTATAAATGACACGCTCAGAGATTCTTGTTAACCTCATTTGTTATGTGCTTAAAACTTTGTTTCAAATTGTAACAACATAAAATGTTTTAATAAGTCTATATTGTTGTGAAAAGTGTACAGGGAAAACCACTAGATGAATTTTCAACGATATTTTTTTGTGACACGAAACTAAAAGCATCCTTCCCCATACTTAAAGCTAAAATACATGAGTTTAATTTTACATTAGGCTATATGTAGACAAATAACATCGATTTTTACCTATTTCCAGACCCCCCCCAAATCCCCACCCTCATGGTGAGAGATTCCTAGTTTGACTTTTCGGTGATCGTCTACTCTTCTCTGTTGATGACTCCTGACCTACTCTCTGCTGAATCTGAATTCACAATCTGAATTTCTGGTTTTGAATTTTAGAATATTGAATTAGATGTTCTCAATTTCTTCATCCTGAAAACCTAAAACTGTACTTTCACAAACTGGAAATCTGCAGTCTAAGAAAATACGTCTATAAACAATTTCAGCCTTGAAAAATTCAGTTGTCCTAAATTTCAGATGTTCAATATTCAAATTAAGAAATTCAAAATTTGTAACAGCATATAAAAATTCAGATTTATTAAATTACAATTTGCAATAATTCAAAGTAACACAATTCAAATTCGGATTGTTTTTTGCATATTATAAGCTTCATACTTTACAATAAGAAGAAATTTGTTACCATTAATAATCATGAACGTACAACAATACTTATATAGCATTAATTAATTGTTGTTACTCATTATTATGTATTTCAAGATCAAAGACTGTCATGATGACATTAAATAGACTGTTCAGTAAAAGTATTGTTAATTGTACATTCATTTTAAATAAAGGTAACATAAATCTTGTTAAGTTTTTTTTAATTTGTTTGTATTTTTAAATTTATGGTATCATAATTAAAAACCAAATTTAACTTTTATTTAACTGTTTTCTTAGGCCAATCCTGCTTTTCGTCGAAGCGTTTCATGCTGTGTGTGGATCAAAATATTGTACATGACAACATCCCCTCCTTCATTTCCGCCCTGTGCATGATGTTTGGAAGCTATTATTGCTTTAACATCCATTACCCATCAGAGCTGGCATCAACCTTGGAGTTTTTGCAGAGGTATGTTTTTTTTTTTTTTTTTGTACAGGCTTTATACAGCATTGAAGTGGAAAAAAAATTAAAGTAACTGATGCAGTGGCTTTTTATGAATACTTAAATTGCTAATGCAAAGTTTTCTTTTTATTTTCCCTTTTATTTGTATAGGTTGATAAATGTCACTATAATTTAAATTAAAAAGGCATTTTTCCCAAAAAATAAGACTTTTTTTTTATCATTAATACAATTATTTTTTTCTCTTTTTTGCTCAGGTGTTTCTTCTCTATCAACCCAGAGAAAGGCACTAAAGTGGAGGAGACAAACACAGCCCGACTTCATGTGAACCCAAGAGTTCTTACCTTGATTCAGGCGCTTTCAGATCATGAATGGCGTGACGTCTAAATATGGACTGAAGTCAGTAAGATTTGACAAACAGTGAATGCCAGTTTCTCAGGTTTATTTGATCTGCCATGCTTAATGTATGTGTTAAGTTTGTACACAACTGTTAAGAGTTTTTATTGCTCTAGTGTTTTCTGAATTAGGTTATTTCTGAATTGCTTGTTTGTATGGAATATTTGTTTATAAAACAACTCTTAAATGTTCTTAAACCGATTTAAGAGAAAAGTCAGTAACATTTTATAATAACTACACACTATAAATAATTTATTAAGCATTAGCATATAGTGAATTCATTAACTGTTGAGCACTAACTCTAAATTAATAAACATTATTTGGCAGTTTATAACAACTGCTAAAATGCTGTATTCTTGATTTAAAAACACGTGTAATGTGCCTAATAATTGTGTTTTCATACTTTGTTAATGATTCTTTTTTCATTACTGAATTAAGTACTGCATTATTTACAAACCAGTTGTATTTTAGAGTATTTCAGGGTTTTTAGGATCATTTAGAATGAATTGGTAAATGGTTAATAAACTATTCAAATCAACATTTATAATTCTTATTATTCAGGCATATATTAATAGTTAATTTGTATGTTATTTAATTCTTTATTAACTCAACTTTATCCTCACTAATCCAAAGTGAGGACTATGCTTTATAAATCCCTTATAAATGACAATTAAATGTTTAGTTTAGTTTAGAAATAATTGATAAAGAAAAGTTTTTTTTTTTCATTTCTATTTATTTTAAAATCCACAAATGAAACTGTATAATATGAAAAATAAATCTTTGCAACTTTATGTAAAATAAAATCACTGTACAGTTTAAACATCGCTAAATAACATTGAAATGTTGCATCATTGTGTTAAATTGTTATATTGTTGTTTAATCCAATTTTATGTTATATTTTGACACTCCTGTTATTCAGCAATAATTAAACTTCACAGTAATTTTACTTATTAGATAAGATTGCAAAGCTTTTTGTTAATTTGATACTGAGCCTTTAATTGTCATTTATAAGGAATTTATAATGCATGAATAGTCTTCACTTCAGATTAGGTCACAAAACTACATGAAGTTGTGCTAGTAAAGCATTTATTAACATAAATAGTAACCATTACTATATGCCTGAATAATAAGAATTATAAATGTTGATTTCAATAGTTTATTAATCATTTACTAACTCAATCTCATTGATTTTAATTATCCCCAACTACTTTTAAATACAAATGGTTCATAAATAATGCAATACTTAATTTAGTCATGAAAAATCAATCACTCACAAATTATGAAAGCACACTTATTAAGCACATTATGTGTGCTCATAAGTCAAGAATAGAGCATTTGTAGCCGTTGATATAAACTGCTTACTAACATCTATTAATGTAGAGTTAATGCTTAACAGTTAACAAATTCACTATATGCTAATGCACGATAAATGATTCATACGTGTGTAGATATTATGAAGTGTTACTGGAAAGTCATTCATTTTATTGCCATTTATTGCAATTTTATTTTTACTGGCAATGTCTGCCATCTCTTTGCCTATTACGTTCCTTATTTGTTTCCAAAAAGACAATCATTATCTGTCACATGCTCTGTAAAAGGTGAATGTCGTTTGTAAGGAAAGTAAGCAATACAAATTTGTGTTGTGAACTGACAGACAGTTGTTGACTTGTTTATGGTTAATAAATACAAATTATAATTGGATTACTAAGTTTTTGAGTGCAGTTTCTATGATATATGCATATCTAGAATTTATATCCCTGAGTACTGTTTAACATACAGTACAAGTTATCATATATGGTAAAGCAAATGATTTACAGTTGCTACTAAAATCAAACTATGTTCAGTATATGAAACAACATTGGTCTTCTCAAAGGAATTGGTTTAGGTGTGGTTGTGCCATTTCAGAAAAGATTTACTTGTCTACATTTTTTGATTATTATGAATAAACACAATTGACTAAATTGATTTTATGCTGTTAAGTTGTTTACCTAAAAAGTATTTTCATTAATTTTTGTCATAATTATTGTGGCAAACACAGCTGCCTACAGAATTTTTTTGTTTAAATATTAATGTAATTATTAATTTTAGAAATAGTATTAATTAGTAAATATGCTGATTTGTTTTTTCACGTAATCTATATGTTCAACAGTTTTAAATTGTAAAGAGGTTTACATTTTTATTGTAATTTTTACAAAATTATTCTGGCAACCACAGCTGCCAAAATATTTTTGTAAAAGCAACAAGATTTTATTGTTTTAATACTAAAAATGTAAATATTTCGTACACAAAATTTCTGTAAATTTTACATATTATTAAATAGTTTTTTACATAATTATTCTGTCAATATACAGTTTTAAATTGTAAACAGGTTTACAATTTTATTGTATTTTTTACAAAATTATTCTGGCAACCACAGCTGCCAAATTTCTTTGGTAAAAACAACAAGATTTTTTTGTTTAAATACAAAAATTTTTGCTATTTTTTACACAGAATTTCTGTAAATTTTACATATTATTAAATAATTTTTTACATAATTATTCTGTCAATATACAGTTTTAAATTGTAAACAGGTTTACAATTTTTTGGTATTTTTTACAAAATTATTCTGGCAACCACAGCTGCCAAATTTTTTTTGTAAAAACAACGGAATTTTTTTTACAGTGTGACCTTCAAAACAAGGATGCTGGACTTTGCAGTATAAAAGCAGTGCTCCCTTGACACCCGGTTGGGCAGCTGTTTCTTCAAACCTGCGCACACATTCAAGACAATGAGCAGTCGTGTCCACCTCGATGCCAAGCAAACCGTGGGCAGTCGTAGATGGTCATGAAGCCCGAATGCCCTGGCCTGTGGGAGAGAGCTGTCAGACCTGTTTATATGCTGGCCGAGGTTCAACTTGAGTCTGTCTGCTGAAATAGAGGAAGGCCAAGGATCAGGGTGGAAGTGCAGCTCCGGGTAATGAGAGGAATACAAGCTCATCCCAGCAGGTTTGGTTGAGGTCAGTGGGGAACACTGTAATTACTTGGAAAACTGCATCTACGGGGCAGCAAAGGATGGGACTTTTTGACTGCTGCATGTATCTTATCTCAATTTATTTCAAGATGAAATGGTGTTGTGATGACTACAGACGAGTCTTCTTTTTTTTCCAGTAATGAGATATGGTCAAATTGTCTCCTGCAGTGTTTGAACATGACTTCCAGTGTAGGGGCAATTACTGTATTATGGAAGTTTATAGTGACCATATACTGGAAATGTAAGTCAATAGCTTTGTTTCCATCCAAATATGAAAATTAGATTCATGTGCAAACCTGAAATATTGAATAAAACCTTTTGCTAATAAAGCCTGTTTCCATACAATAAGTTAACGAGAATTAAATAGTCACTTTCTAATAAGCTAGGACCAAATATTCATTTAGTCATTGTCTTTTTGGCTTAGTCCCTTTACTAATTCGGGGTCGCGACAGCAGAATGAACTGCCAACTTATTCATCATATGTTTTTTTTACGCAGTGGCTTCCAGCTGCAACCCATCTCTAAGAAACATCTATGCACACTCATTCACACCCATGCACTACGGACAATTTAGCCTACCCAATTCACCTGTACCACATGTCTTTGGACTTGTGGGGTAAACCAGAGCACCAGGAAGAAACCCACATGAACGCAGAGAGAACATGCAAACTACACACAGAAACTCCAACTGACCCAGCCGAGGCTCGAACCAGCGACTTTCTTGCTGTGAGGTGACAGCACTACCTACTGTGCCACTGCATCGCCCGGCACCAAATATCAAAAATAAAAATATGATTTTCTGCAGTAGTAGAACCTATTGTGTCTTTTTTTTCTTATAAGTTACTTGCTCTTCGAAAGACAAAGATAAAATGCAATGTGTGGTGGGTTTTGGAGGCGCGAGACCACTCAATACAATTCTGGGAATTAATTATACCAAACTACTTTAATGCACAAATTCATGTGAATTTTGTGAATTCTATCAAAGTCCCTTTAAGGCAAGTAGTTTTACACGGCGACCATCAGAAATGCCTGTCGAGCAGTATGCTCGGGTGTTCTGTCTGAATGGAGAAACATCAAATTCTCCAAATATTTTGCCAAGCTCACGGTTACATTACATATTTGGAACCACCAATAAAATTAAACAACAACCGTCTTAAAAATTTAATTTCTAAATGTTCGAATCAAACAAAACAAGCATATTTTTGAGGTTGCCTGAGCTAAAGCGCATGTGCACTTAAAAGAAATGAGATCACAACCCCAACCTCATTTATGGCCATTCTACACATTATCATCCTCCGTATATTGATTGTCTAATCGCGCTGCTCTTCTAAAGTTATTCACAACTTGTTCTTGATGGCGAATCTCCTCCAAAAATGACAGCAACTCTTATATTACAAGTTTAGGGGTGTTTGAATAGTTGCTGTCATGTGATGGGCGTTTGATTGGACAGACTGTAACTCGCTTTTATTTCATACACATTACAAAACCAAACAACTTTTGTTTTCAAGTGCACTTGGTTCATTTAAAAGTACAGATTTCAAGCTTTATCTGGATATATTTCTTATGTCTGTGAAGCAAGTATTCATTGAGATTCCAGCGTGTTTGTTGACCACCAAAGTGTTGTAAAACCACATGTCTAGTCTGAGCTTCTCCGTCAATCTATAGTGATCAATGATTGGCTCCTGTATCTGTGGGCGGGGCTTCATTCGCCATATTGACCGTTACACTTTTCCCCATTCAAAAATGAGTGACATATCTTGTGAATTCTATGGTCTTTGACTCTGTAAATCTGTTTTTATCATAAAGTTTATGATTTTTTTTTATAATCGGATTAAACGTTTATCCTACTCAGCTGTACGCTTACATTTAAACAAATCGAGAGCCGTGGCAATGGACAAAGCTGGGATGCACAAGTTTGTACATTGGTCTCGAGTCTCATAGAGGAGTGGAAGCAGAGAAGGGATGACAGATGAAGATGACAGAGGACCAGGCTTGGAAAATGTGTTTGTTTTACTTTCAGTTTGTCTGTAATCACCTTGAGAACTGCCACCTGTTTCCTTCTTCCCATGAACTAAGAATTTAAACCACAGAGGTGTAAAGCCCCAAACCTACAGTAACTAACACTAACTGTCTGGTTTCTGGCCACCTTCTTGCTGTGAGGTAATTGTGCTACCTACTGCTATTTTGACTACTTGACTATTTCTCTCAGACACATATAAATGTAAACATAAGTTTCCACAGAGGAAATCAAATCTCCTGAATATTGTAATATAATACCATTCAAGACATAAAATACACATGCACAATTTATTTTTAAAAAGGAAAGTCCCAATGTGCTTAATTAAATGTATACTAGATGCCTGATATGTTGACACATCAATACCATGTAGGAAATGCATGCCAGATGTGCAGTTCAATCAATTATAGTGATTACATGAAGGATGTTGTTTGCTGTAGTAAATGTATGTCTATGGAAAATACGATTTCCATCTGAAACAAAAGCTAGTTGCGTGTAATTGGTTTTAAATTAATTGTCAGAATGTGATTTATTTATACATTTGATTTAACTAGAACATTGACAATGTGCTGTACTTAGTTGTACACAGTTGTCATACTATCTTTTTTTCACTAACTGCATGTATTCATTG